CTATTGTGGAAAAGGGGGCGGGGATCAGCAGCTCATTTGCATTTAAAGAGACATGTACGAAAACAGCGTGTTTCTGCTTCCACTCAAAATAGGCATTTTCAAAATGATATATAAAAAATAATCTGTGGGCTATTTTGAGCTGAACTTCACACATTCTGGGGACAACTGAGACTTATATTACATCTTGTAAAAAGGGGCATAATAGGTCTCCTTTAAAGTGTTGTGTATCGATACAGACTTCCAGATTAAATTCCAAATCACTCGATTTGATTTGATTCAGTCAGGTATTTTTTAGGAAAATTTGTTGTTCAGCTAATTTTAACAGGCAAAATCCAGTCATTTCAATAGAAATCAAAATATTTGGGAATTTTGTGCGAGGGCTAAAGATTTCCCCATGGAAATTTCACAACACGTTCAGGTTGGTCACGCAGATTCACCACATTAACTGACAGAAAGCTGCTTGGTTTGAAAGAGACTTCCTACATCACTACTATTCCTGACAACAGACATTGGACTTATTTGGAAAACGAAATTTCGCTAAACCTTTCGCATCTTAATGCTTAAAAATTATGCAGAATAGAGTTCCTAATTGATTCAAATGGGTAACTTGCCTTTCTAAACTACTAAATAAAAGAATTGGCTCTTAAGAGAATAAGGCTATATTGGTCAATGTGTATGTTTATTCACCAAAAAGAGTGAAAAGAGTCATTTGCTTGTGAATCAGCTGCACTGGTCATTTAGTATGTTTGTTTATGCACAGTAGCATACAAGGACGATTCAATATAAATATATCGTTTGCCAATATTTTGAGGCTCACAGTTGTTTGGTTGCATCCCATTAAATGCAGATGGCAAACTATATACATTACAAAACTATTAATTCAAAACTATAACAAGACCCAACTGTGCAGTTGCGTAAATTAGATCAGCAGAACGCAGGGAACCCTGCAGCCCTGTAAGTTTTCATGCAGCCACTGAAAATAAGCATAGTGTAAAGGTTTGCTCTTTACACTTTAAAAATCAATATCAGGATTTATCAAATGAAGAAAACAATTAATGTGAAAACTGATCTTTTTAAACGGCCCTTTCAGTCGTCTCTGAGGGTGCTTCGCAAAACGTTGCATTTGATTTCAACTGTGCATGCAGAATGTTTTTAGGAGCATCCACAAAACAGAAGGGTTGGTTATAAGACAGATGAGCCCTGCTTTGCCCTCCTCTCTGTCCTGAGTTTACACTGACTGATGCTGATGCTGAGCTCTGTCGCCTTCTGCGCCACGGAAAACACTTGTCACCATGGCAACCAACGCCAGCATCAATGAGGTGCCCTGTGAATATTAACATGCTATCGGAACCGCTCCAGTGAAGAACTGAGACACAATAACATCAACAAGCAATAAATCGCATACCCAATAAAACCCAGACGTTCCTCCTAATAGATATCCCCTAATGTAGGTTACATAATCGTGCTATAAATGTTTGAGATCACCATGGACGTGCCGATCATTCAGAAGGTGTGTGCTATTGTTTTTACACAATTGTCCTGGGCGGTTTATTTCGATTTCAACCCAGTATTGCTCAGAACAGTGCGCAGTCAGCTACAGCAAGATGAGAAGGAATGAGAAAGCTTGTCTGTTCACGGTGCTGTATGTGACCAGAATCTGCAATGAAGACAAACGCGTCCAAACACAAACCTCCTTTATCTAGTGGAAATGAAGCAGCCATTCACGCAGAGACATACACCGATGGATATGACAGGCAGAGACACTGTGTGCACAGAGGCGTTAAAGGGATAGTTCAGCCTGAAAGGAAAAGCATGTCATCATTTACTCACCCTCATGTTGTTCCAAATGTATATGACTTACTTCTAAAGAACGTAATAGAAGACGTTAGACTAACAGTCTCTATTCACTTCTTTTTTTTCCATACAAGGAAAGTGAATTGATTGAGGATGTCATCCTGGCTAGGATGCCCTTTTGCAGTCCAAGAAAAAAAAAAGAGTCAGGTTTGGAAAAACATGAGGGTTGGCAGAGGATGACATAATTTTTATTTTTGGGTAACTATCTCTTTAAGATCAGGGAGGCTGAAAAAGCAGGAAAATAAAGTCAGTTTTGTCAGATGGCTTTAAATGTATCAAGACAGCTTCTAAAAAAAGGAGATATTTCCTAAAACCTAAAGGATATGGGATGATTGTAATACTAGATGTCTGAAAGACAAGCCTGGGTGTGCTCAGAATATCAAATCCTGCTGTAAACAAGTGCTTTCTGCACTCATGGACAAATGTGTCTAATTAGGGAAGCTCTATTACACCTGTATGGCATTTAAATTATGTACATTTTTATTAATATACCGTATTTTTCCGTGCCTGAAAGGATGGTTTGCAGTGCTGCAGTGACAAGGCTGGCTAACTTTCAGCTTCTCACTCCAATATACATCAACCCACTTATTAGCCACGTTAGCACTTGCACTGGATTACGGCATTTTACTAAGTCTTCAAATGCCTTAAAAACACACTGGTGACTTTCGCCTGTAGTGTTTTAGAGCAAACTGGCCGCTTTCTGTCTAACAAGGGATGACGGTGAAGGTGGGCAGCGCTGCTAAGCGCGTCTCGATGTAGTCCATAGATCATTGATTTAACTGTTACATATAAACTTACACTTCAAGAATACGGTCGCCCTTTGAGATTCCGGCTCGGTCTGCCGCGCCGCCCGGTAACACGGCGCTGACGTGCTGCAGCGGGGCGTAAAGTTCGCCGTTGATGCTCCTCAGCTGCCCTCCTTCGCTTACTTGCCCGCGGACATTGAAGCCATAGCCCGAGTCCGACTTGACGATGCGGACCAACCGAGGCCCGGAGGTGACCGTGGTCGCGACGAGGCCGCCGGCGCACGTTCCCGAGCTCGTGCCGGAGCCGTTGCGAGCCGCCGAGTGAGTTGTGGAAGGGCCAGCGGAGCGACTGCCGTCTCCTTCGACAACATCTGCCATCTTTATTTGAAGAAATCCTGCCTCCACAGCAGGCTCGGGCGCCGAAGTGCTACATGAGCTTATTGGCTGTCGGAGTGCGTCAGACTCCAGACGGGAAAGACTGACGCCAAACCGCCTCCATCACGAGACACTGCTGCGTTTGCGTGCCTTGAAAGTTACTTCTGTCACGTAACAACAAAGCAGTGCACCATGGGAAATGTAGTGCGGAACACTGACGGAACTGACAGCCAGTCTATTTGCATGGTTGCTCGTTTTGTAAAATGGAAGAAGAACCAGTTATCATTGGACAGAAAGGACCGGGTTATTTTTTTTATGTTTAAGAAACTGGTGCAGATTGCAGAAAGATGTTTCAAATATTCATTCAAATGATGTTCCTTCTGTTTATTTTTACTTTGTCTTCTGATTAAATGTAATATCTACACAAAGCTAGAGCAATACACTCTAAACCTAATTTTAGATTATATTCTGTTTTGAAACAACGTGTATGCTATAAAACAACACATGCGATAAAGTTAATTATTTAAAGGTGCTGTATGTAAGTTTTTGACTCTACTAAAGCATAAAAATACCATAATAAAAATACCAAAAAGATTTGTGCACAGTTCTGTAAAAGTAAAAAGTAAGCATTCATATTCCATCTATCTTGGTGCCAGCATAATGTAAGAGTTTTTATTTGGTTAAAAGTGCACAAATAAATTGAGTGACCTGAATTTGAAATTAATAAAACTTCTGAATGTTATAACAAAAATTCATTCTGTGAGATTACGTTTGAAATGATACATTCTATGATCCTGAGATAACAGTTAATTCTTTTTGGCTCTGAGTGCCCAAGAATCAGTTCTAAGATCCCTTATGAGGGCCACCACAAGATGGAGACATTTACTGGAAAATGTTATATTTTATGCGCTCCAAAAGGTCAATGTAGTTATAGGCATTTGCAACTTGTCTGATCACTAATATGTGAACCTTATGCTTTTTACAGCAAAGGAAATCTATGAAATACCCAGGAAAAAAAACAATGTTAAAGCAGCACTATGTAATTTTTCTGTGTTCAAAATTTGCAAAATGTATATAATGAGCGAGTACATCATGAATTCATCTTCCAAACCGCGTTTTTGTCTTATTCCGAATCACTACGGTACACTTATAATAAGTACTTATATTTGGACTATTGTAGCCTGGTCGGGGCGTCACCGCTGCGGGGTAACACATACCTGCGTGAATCGCCATAGACATAAACTTAGAGAAGTAGCTCCGGTTGGAATGTTCTTCCGCGGGATGTGTGCAGTTCTGTTTATTAACCGCCAGAGTGCCAGAAGTTACATAGTGCTGCTTTAAAGACACTGACCAAATAGAGAAATGAGTTGTTAAAACTAATACACTTTGGTGTTAGCTTAATATTAGAATGGAGGGACAATAACAGTTTTTGTGATCTGATGTGATACGTCACATCAGATACGTCAGGAGATACGTCAGAATGCTGTTCATACGTCAGAATGCTGTTCATAGACTTCAGTTCAGCATTCAACACAATCATCCCTCAACAGCTCAGCTTCTTATCATAGTCTGAGGCAGAAGATGTGTTTTATAGTATTCTATACCCTTATAAAGGTTTTATTTAACATTGTATTATAAATATAGCCTACTTTATACTTATGAAAATACCTGAGATTGCATAAGCAGAAAAACTTGTCAGCAAACGTGTGTTTATTGTCCTCATGTATATATACACGGTAAGTATTGTATGGTATATATATATATGGTAATGGTGTGGTATTGTTTTCAAGTTTCCTGCAGGCCATATATGCACCGTGTATAGTAAGAGTTACTGTAATCTGTGTAATTTGACAATTCAATGTATGTCAGTATTATGTTAGGAGTGTCAATGGTAGGTGAACGTTTCCATATGAAAATTTATAGGAATAACCTTCATGTGTATGTAAGCTGCAGCCACCAACACCATAAACACACATTTACAGATAAGAACACTCACTCCCACATATTGTAAGAATACAGATTTAATTCAAAATATTAAAAATCTTTATTTTTGGTTTCAGATATACCATAGCTTTACAGATAAACCCTTTCTGTAAGGACAAGGACAAGATCATTTTTTTTTGAAAAATTCATTGCAAAGCATAGTGATGCAGGCGACCAAGGTGATGTACTCCTGAAAGTCCACAGTGCCATCTGCATTTGCATCCAGATCCTTAAATATCTTGTCCAGAGCTCCCTGGTCACCGGATTTCTTTAACAAAAACAAAAGTCTGATCAGAGATACTGTCTGTACAATGATGCCAATTAAACAGCTCATATTTACATCAGTATTATCTCACAATATTTCTATTATGATGATTAATACAAAAGAATTCAACTTTTTAAATTGTTATTATATACAGTATATATATATAAAGGAGCAGTTGTTATACCTAATTTTAAAATTAAGCATTTTTAATTAAAATGTCATAATGAAAAGATAAATTATATTTCAACTGGTCAGTTTTGTAGTGCCTCTCACCCCGAGGATGTCGCTCAGCTCTGTATTGAGCATATCCTTGAGCTCGCCTTTGGTCAGGGTGTGTTTGTCTCCCTCCTTTCCTGAGTATTTGTGAAAGGCTGCAATCAGCAAAGCCATTCCTTGCTGGATTTCTGTAAAATGAGTGTGATACAAAGCAGGTGTATCATAAATAAAAAATATTAATAATAATCAAACAAAACGTATTGTTTACAACATCCAAAATTATTAGTAGTGTAGATGTCAAAAGTACAATATATGAAATGTCATGGCCAGCAACAATATAACACAGAGAACTGGTTACAGCCCACTGGAGGCAAGCAGATGGGAGAGAAGGGGTGGACCTTAACTGTTTGAAGAGTGGGAGTTTTCAGAAATGGAGGGATAAAAAGAAAACCCGTCAGATTTAAGCACAATCGGATTATGGCCAACACCCTGAACATACCCTTTAATTAAAACAGAATAAAGCAACAGAAAAAAAGAGATCTACTCAATTTTGTCATTGGTCATTTAATCCACCATCAACTGCCTCCTTTTCCTGCCTCTGCCTTCTTCTCAACACACAAACTCTTAAACTTTTCTACTAATCAATTAATGGCCGAAAAGCATATAACATATATCAAAGAATGCCATCAATCTACAAATTTTGAAGCCATTAAACTTTTATAGTGCAGCAGTGAGATGCATTAGTTCATTTTAAGCAGTAAAACAATTCAGTACAAAAATAAAAAGTCTCTTACGTGACATGGTGTTTCTGGAGTTCACGGCGAGCAAGAAGTGAAAGATAGGATCGAGCGAGTGAGAAGTGAAGGAACAGATGGTGTTTTATGCAGAGAAATGCCACACCCCCCAAATTCATGCCCTCCCACCGTCCCAACCCTTACCACACAACCGCACCTACATTTACTCTCTTACTCTTACTATGCTCTCTCTCTCTTATTGTTCACTCCCTTAAAGGGGTCATATGATGCTGCTAAAAAGAACATTATTTGGTGTATTTGGTAAAAGGGGCAGGTGGAATAGGCATCTCTTGTCCTTGTTCAGTCCTTAACTCAGCTGGCTAAACCAGCTTCTAACTGCACACAAACAGCTAAAAAGAGTATTACTGATTATTTACTGCGCTCCTCATCGTGCTTAACAATGCCCCTTAGCTGTTCTAAAATCACTATAAACCACAGCTTGGGGCTCTACTGCTTTAATAGTCACCAAATGAAGAGTTGAGAGCTGGATGCTGTTCATTGACGTATCAAAATGATACGATACATCAACAATGTAATTTTGATCTTGCACCATGTGGCTTCTTATCACAGATTATTCATTACTAATTTCAAACACATTTCAAATAATTTAAACACTCTAATATATACTGTAATTTGAATAGAACATGAGTCATTGAGGCACCTCTCTAATATTTCTGCAGTTTTATACAAATAAAGTACAAAAGCTGTTACTGAGGTGGTGCATTTTCTAAAGGTACCTTATTTTCCCCCTAAAGGGTGCATACTGGTACCTTAAAGGTATAGGCTATATTAGTATCTAAAGTGTACATATTACTAATACTTTTCAAAAAGGGTAACAACACAATGACAGCTTTTGTACATCTTTTCTGAGAGTGTAAAGCAACTAACATGTCAAAATCATGACATTTACTACAAAAATATACATATCTCTCTCACTAATGCATGTGAGGCCACTTTAGGTGTGGTGTGGTGCTGTTTTCAAGTTTCCTGCAGGCCATATATGCACTGTGTATAGTATGAGTTACTGTAATCTGTGTAATTTGACAATTCATTGTATGTCAGTATTATGTTAGGAGTGTCGGTGGTAGGCGAATGTTTCCATATGAAAATGAAGCATATAGTTATAATATATAGGAATAAGAACACTCACACCCAAATATAGTCAGAATACAGATTTAATTCAAAACATTACAAATCTTTATTCTCCGTTTCAGATATACTATAGCTTTACAGATAAACCCTTTCTGTAAGGACACAATCATTTATTTATTTTTTTGTGAAAAATTCATTGCGAAGCGTAGTGATGCAGGCAAAAGTATAAACAATATAACACACAGAACTGGTTTATAGCCCTCTGGAGGCAAGCAGATGGGAGAGAAGGGGTGGGCCTTAACTGTCTGAAGAGTGGGAGTTTTCAGAAATGGAGGGAAAGAAAAATGACAGTTTTAAGAGAAAGATGATTATGGCCAACACCCTGAACATACCCTCAAGACAGAAGAGAGAGAGAGAGAAAGAGATTTTTGTCATTGTTCATTTCATCCACCACCAACTGCCTCTTCTTGTTGTCTTTCCAACACAGAAACTCTTAAACTATTGCCTTAAAATGAATAAAAGACATATCGACCAGTCAATTAACAGCTGAGAAACATTTAACATATATACACCCTAAACTCAGCTTCAAAAAAACAGAAAATGTTTTAATTCGAACACACATTTTAATCATAAAGTACAGTGCAGCAGTGAGATGCATTAGTTCATTTTAAACAGTAAAACATTTCAGTAATAAATAAATAAATAAATAAAAAAGTCTCTTACGCGACATGGCGTTTCCAGAGTTCAAGGCAAGCAAGAAGTGCACAAAATTGCGAACCAAAGATGAGAACTAAAAGAACAGATTGAGTGTTATATGCAAACTCCACACCCCAGATGCACCCCCTCCCACCGTCCCAACCCTTGACACACAAATGCACCTGCATTAACTTTTCTTTGTCTTACTCTGGCCTATGCTCTCTCTCTCCTATTGTTCATCCCCTTAAACCATTTAAACCTTTGTTGACTTAATTATTGAGTTTGCAAAAGGTGGGCTTGGCATCTCTCGTCATTGGATGTCTCTAACTCAGATGGTTAAACCAGCTTCTATCCACACACAAACAGCCAAAACCTTAGACTTGAGCCTTTGGGCAAATCCACTGTCAAGACCTGCCCTGAACTGGAAGCGCAAGTTGGGTGTTCCTGAGAACCACTTTAGTGAAACTGCATGGAACCACTGAAATAATTCTATACTAAAAAGAGTATGTCTAATAGTGGTTATGTTAAATACTCACAATCATTTTAAGGCTTAATCACTTATGCATGTTTATGGATGTTTGCTGGGATGCAAAACTGCTCAAGCTGAATGAAAATGGTATTTTGCAAAACTCTGTGGTATGAATACAGGTGGGCAGTAAGTCTGGTTTTTACTAAAATGAGACAGAGATGAGATGTCTCTGACCAATTGACCAACTGTGGCTGGTTGCATAAACTGCTTTACACTAGTCTTACAGCTTAGTTATTTCATTTTACTTTTCTTAAGACTGCATAACATTTTAAAGTTAGTTACGTAAAAATGTTTTATTTGAATCCGAAAATTGAGACCCCTTGGCTAAATGCTAGATGGCAAGACTAGCTCTTCAGACACAGTCTTAACATTGTGGCTGTGCTTATGCAACTGGTCTAGTGTAATTTTTGACATGTAGCTACAGGGCACAATTTAAACCATTATTAGGTAATGAAAACTCACACTGGATTTATATCATTAATCAGAAAAAGATGCCATGAATATACTGCCTTACATTGTGTTGCAATCATAATGGAACCACTTCAGCAGTCGTAACCAGTCCTGCATCTTTTAAGAGCACAGGGTAATTCTCTAGTATTCTAAGCAATGCTAAAAGCCATTAACAGAGACTATACTTTTGCTTATTCTAGTCATGCATGGTTTTTTTCCAAAAAAGAAAAAGAAAAAGTAAAGCTGCTTATTTACGTCAAATGTTGTAAAGGATAAAAACAACAACAACAACAACAAAAAATGCCTGTTTGCAAGTTTTTAATGCATATCTGACATCGCAATGCTTCATGAGAAGAAATATTTTGTCATTTTTAACATTTTATTTTTGTGAAGTCCATTTTGCAAGATAATTTTAGGTGGAATATTGCATTTTACTCTTCTCCACAGTCAAAAAAAAAAAAAGCAATAAAAGATTGTCACAGGGCAGTACTCTCAAATGTGCATATTAGCATCTTAAAGGGACAGTACATCCAAAAATGAAATTTACTAACTCTTATGCTGTTCCAAAGCTGTATGACTTTCTTTCTTCTGCAGAACACAAAAGAAGACATACAGTGATATAAAGAGACTATAAGTCTGCTTATTGTAGTTATGTATGGTTTTTAGAAAAACGACATAAAGCTGATTATCTATGCACTACATGTTCTGGGGGAAAAAATACCTATTTGCATGTTTGTGCACCTTTAATGCATACCTGACATTGTGATGCTTAATATGAAGCATGTTATGCCACATATCAGTCATTTTTAGCACTTTATTTTGTGCAGTCCATTTTTCAAGAGCATTAACTTTCAACGTATGAACATAAGACATCTTCAAGAAAGGTGCACCATCCCTCTAAAGTATTAATATCCAATCTTTAGGAGTAAATAAGGTACAAAAGTGTTCCTTTGACGGTACTGTCCCAGTAACAAGATGATGTACCCCTAAAGAGACATGAATGCCAGGTCACTAGTGGCACAGCATAAAATGATGTGTGTTGGGTGTATGCTAGATGTAGTTTTTATTATTAGCAATGCACTGCTGAAAAAGTGAATAAAGAAAATAGTGGATAAAGGAATGGTGAGTGAAGATGAATAGTAGCAAAAGAACTTGTGAAAGGCATTTAAGAGTACTAGTATTTCAGGACCAGTTGGAAATGAGAGAAGTCTGGGAGGGAAAAAGAAAAAAAGGGGGCAGAGGAGATGACTGGCCTCATTTAACCTCAGTCTTTATGTAATACAGTGATGGTGACTCACTCGGGTAGAATTTCAGCTTTTTTTCTCTTTTTGCCACAGTTGCTCGGAGAACGTTAATGTTTAACTTTCTTTTTACTTTTATACAATTTGTTGTGCACTGTTTATTTCTCTTAAATGGATACCAAAAAGTGACAATTCTGTCATCATTTACTCATTACAATTGAAGCATTCTTTAAAATATCTTATCTTTTGTCTTCTGCAAAAGAAAGGAAGTCATACATGACGTGAGCTTGAGTAAATGAAAAATGTTCATTTTTTTAATCTATCCCTTCAAATGAGCGAGAAACTTTATCACACATGCACTCTCTAGACAAAAAGAAAAGTAAAAAAGCTGTCACCAGGGTGGTACCCTTACAAAAGGTACAAATATTTACAATTTTAGAAACTAATATGTACCTTTAAGGTACTAACATGCACCCTTTGGGGTCAATAAGGCACAAAGGTGTACTTTGTGAAAGAGTATTGCCGCAGTGTCAGATTTTGAATGTAAAATAGCAACTTTTATGCAGCAGCAGTGAGAAGACATACAAGACCTCATGATTAAATCTCATGGACTCTGTGGCCAATTTCCTTGTGAGTCACCATCCAAAAACATCTATGAGTAAGTGGGACCTCCCTGGCGCCATTTTGACCACGAGTGTGGGATAGAATCAGCTTCAGACCCTCAGTGAAGTGGGTGGATGAGAACATGAGAGGAGAGGACATTGCGGAAATACTTGTTGTGGAGGTTGGTCTTGCGCAGATATGCTTGTTTCTCAAAACGCATGGCGCAAACATCTTGGCTCTGATTAGCCACAGTTAAACTGAGCAACTTATTGTACTGTGTTGACATAGCCAGAGGACAGAACACAAACACCATAACATTCAACCTGAATTCCCCTCCTCTTCCCATTGCCAATGTTAAATACAGACAGCTGTGTCACTAATGAGAACTTTAAGCAAAATTGGAAAAAGATGTCAGCTTAACAGAAGACACATTCTCTCTTTTCTTATATCAATGAACATGCATCCATTTGAGTCTTGCTTTTTTATATTATACACAACAGAAGAT